GCTGTTTTTAAAGCATTGTATTTCACTCATACTTCTAATTGGATAATACATGAGACAGAACATCAAAACTTCCTTTACAAATTATTCAATTATTGGAACCTGTGAAGATAGTTTATCATCATTCTGATTATCTATAAGCATGTAGCTGCTGTTTCAGTTTAATATAAGTTTTCTGAACTACAAGTATATAGAATTTGGTTCTGATAACAATCTTGACAATATTATTCAAACTTTGGTTAAATTTAATAATTCAAATTCAGTTTTGAAATGACTTAAAAAAATATATAAAAATAGTATACAATTAAGATTGACAAGGAATGTTACAAGAAATATTGATAAAATATTATGTAGACTTAAGACAATATTTTATAGTTGGTAGTTTTAAGAATTTTAATAATAATTTAAGAGAGATAATTTGTTTTTATATTTCAAACAAGGTATATCTTTTGAGGAGAACCTTAAGAAATTTTTTTGTATAGTTAACATTAAACTGTGGAGGAAGCCAAACTATAATTAGAATTACTATTAATTATTAAGACCAAAATATGGTATAAAATGATTTCCTTTTAACTTTCTTATGTTTAGTAGTTACAAGGTTTTATGTTAACTTTTCTGAGAATACTAAATTTTTTAAAGATTTACATAAAGAAAGATTAATTTTGAATGATGAAACCAAATAATTACCAGATCTTTACCACTACTATTAATAATTAAATACTGCTCTGGACTGATTCTTTCCTTCCAGAATATTCCAAATTATTTAATAAATATTAATTTTAATTATTATAATTAAATTTAATAAGAGATGGTGCATAAAGCCTACGTCTCTACCAAATTACTCAGTACTTACTAATAGTAATGATAAAGAAGCCCAATTTAATTCCAGTAATTGTTTAGTTTCATTATAAGATATTGGGCTTTGAGGTGTTTATATGTAATTTTGAATTTATAAAATTGCACTTACCAGGAGAAACCTTCCAACCCACATGAGATTAAAGATGTTTCAAGAGCTCATTGGATGCATTTGTTTCTGAATTGGAAATGCATGTAGTTGGAAATATGTCTGATAACGTTTTTATATTGCCTGAAGAAATATACTGTACATCTAATGGTTGTATTCTTCCTGTTGTTTTCAATGGAATGATCTTAAATCAAGATGATGTAGAAAACATCAGAATTCTTATGTCCAGATCACAGGCCTAGTAGTTAGTGTCCTTCCTTTTTATTTTCTTGCAGAGTATTATCACACCATAACTATGTATTTCATTATACATTTTGTGCTCTTTGAACACTGGATATACAAATTCATGTATATTTTAATTAATGCTTTTAGTCCTTTTAATATTATTTTAATATTGATCACTATTGTGACTATAATCTATTAATAGTAATTACAGTAGAGCATCGATTTTCCGAATCAATTGGGGACTGGGGTTGTCCGGATAACTGATATTTCGGATAACTGATTTACGTACGAAAAAATAGTTTAACGTATCCGATGTCTAAATTTTTCTCCGTTGCGTGTCGCTTTGCGTTGAATTTTCGTCGATGTTAAGCCTAACAAAGACTATTGTATCGTTAAAAATTATTTTTTTATTTTGTACAAACAAAATAAATATATTGAAAAATATAAAAATAATAAAAAATTATACTTCAGATGTTAATTTAGTATCAAAAACGTAAAATATTTGAGTAGCCCAAGACATAGCCAAAGATTGAAGCGCCACAGCACTGGCGAAAATTTAAATTTGCCGACTGGAATTCTTTCGGATGATTGACTTTCGGAAAATCGACGCTCTACTGTATTATATTATATTGATTTAACTTGCTGATGAAGTTAGGGAGATTGAATCAGTCTCTTGGTTCAAATGAATACTTTTATTTGCACCTCATTCAAAATTTTCTTGGAAGGACAAAAAATTTATTATAGCAATTTTAAACAGATTGTACATATGCATTTTGGGCTGTTGTAACTTCACAGCTCCTCTTCAGTGCTATTAAAGGATAGTGGCATGATTAAAAAACCCGACATTGTTATTATTTTCATAAAGATTTTTACAATATTACTTACATGTTTTAGAGAGAAAATAATTTAAAACTCCATTACACATTTGAGCTTTCCCATAAATACACACAAAAAGATTTTCAAAATGACATAAAATACAATTTACTATAGAAAATTATTACATAAAAACTCAGTAAAACCTTTAAATCTTACATAAAATTGGATGTAATTATAAAGTATCTACTGTTATTTTTAACTTGTAAAAAATGATGGTGACTACAAGTCAGTTTTTTTATATGGTTGAAGTACTGTTCAAGTGTGATGTGTTACAATTTTTAAAAAAATATAATGGTAAAAAAAAATATAGTTGACTTACATTTATATTGTGCCATCGATTTATATAGGTTCACAAACATAACACTCACTAACGTTCACATCAATATAAAAACCATGAGATATTGCAGTATAGTTCAACACAGACTGAACTTCTAATTATATTGTATATGATGGAACACACTCTATTAATTGATACCATTGAGGATCGATGGTTATGCCATCTGAGATGTTAATTTATCTTTAGATTGTTTTAATATTTCTATATGTTCTTTAAATTTCCTTTTATAAGTGTCTTTTTCATTATGTAGTACTTTTATTTTGTTTCTGTTGATTTGACTAATTGTTACTCATTGAATGTTTGAACCATGGAGAATTACTGTATTGAGGCATATTGCCACCTCGTGCTCTTTGATTCATTTTTCAAACATGCATCCAGTTTCTCCTACATAAATTCTAGGCTTATTACAATTGCATTCAATTTTATAAACAGTTTTGGAAGGGGGGGTATGTGCTACCTTGTATTGTGTGTGTGTCTGCATTTACTTATGATGCCAGACCCAAAAATCAACCTTATTTTCTTTTCGTCAGCAATAAATTTGTCCAATAGCCCTGAAACATCATTTATTTAAAGTATAGGTTGGAAGGTTTTTCTTGTATAAAAAAAATTTACATTTACAAAGTAGAAAATATTTTTAGAATTAATAATGCAGTTAATTATTAAACATCATAAAGAATTGAATCATGATCAAAGTTTTTGTAAGTGAGAGTATTCACATTTTTACATAAAAAAAAAAAAGTTGAAGATTTCTAAGTATGAAATAAATTTTCAAATGTCTGTGTAATTGTTATAACTGATAGGAATGTGAATATATAATCAATACAGACAAGGTGCAATTTCATCATAAAAATATTTTACTAAATAAATTGGCAAGTAACAAAACTAAACTTACTGTTTACTGTTGTTTCCTAAGAATACAAGGTGTAAAAGTATACAAGTGTGATCCAAAAGTTTCTAGATTGGATTTATTTTAAAAACAATTAAGATAATTACAGATTTGTAGCTTAATTTCATTTGAAGTAGTCCCCATCTGAAGCAATCCATTTAGCTCAGTGCTGTTTACACTGCTTGAAACAAATTTTAAAATCATCGTCTGAAATAACAAACAGCTGCCTTGTCATATTCTGTTGTATTTCCTCAACATTCTGTATCTCTTTTTCTTCAAATGGATTTTGATTTTTGGGAAGAGAAAAAACAACTAGAGTAGCTGTTGGATTTAGGTAAAGTGATGCTTTGCAAGAAACTGCCTCACAAGTTGTAATTCATGGGCAGGTGTGTTATGGACTTGCCACTCACCACTATGATGCAATGTCAACCTTTTGTAACAGACTGTGTTCCTCAAATGCCACATCATAATCATAAGGGAATTGTGCTCATAATTATCCCTTATGATTGTTACATTTGATAAATTTTTCCAACATTTCAATTGATTTTTACAAACAGTAACACATAAGAACAAAACATTGCTATAAACAGTAAGAGCAAAAACATACATGACTCATAGCACATGGGGTAAGTTCCTAGGTTAACTCTGTCTAGCCACTTCCAATTGTGTTGCTATGTTCCATACTTATGCCACAAGTCTGGATACTTTTGGATCACATCTTGTATACAGAATGTCACTTGCTAATAAGAGTAATAAGAGATTTTTGATGTCTGCTTATACAAAAAGACAATAATAATAGTCATAACTTTAAACATATTAACAGAAAAGTTAGAATTTTGAGATATGAATAGAAAAAATTTACAATAGATTTTAAGTTGTTTTTAACAGCATATTTGCTGGATTTGGATTTTAATTAAACAAATGTTTTGATCATCAGGTTAGAAACTCAGCATGAAATAAATGGAATATTAGAATCTTTTTCATTCCTGTTTATCATTTAAATAGAAAAAGCATTTTATGTAATTGTTTATATAAGAGTTATTGTTGTAAACTGAATTCTGTTTTTCAACTTTATTGATCTTCCATTTATTCAAAGTTTCTAACTTGGAGATGACTTATAAGAAACTAAAAGTATTCATTTAGATAAAAATATAGTACGTTAGATGTGAAATGAAACTAATAAAAACCAAATGTCACAAGCATAAACTATATTGGAAATCATTTAATACCATAGTCTTAGGAATAAGTAACAGCATTTCTTATTCCATTTTACTGTTGTTCCCAATTAGAATTGTTTTGTTGAATTATTTATTGTTATTTATTAACTTAATTGATATTTCAGATTTTATTGAGATGACTTTAATTGATGAAGTAAATATACAAAACCAAGTCAAAGATTTAAATATTGAACTAATTATTATGCAACAAATAAATTTCTTTCAATTACTGTGATTGATTTGATAGCATGAATTAACTAGATGAAACATCATAAGAACTTTGATTTAATTGGATATTTTTAAAATGTAAATATCTAAGATCAGAGAAGTTAATTTCATAAAAGGAAACCTGAAATCTTTTGGAGTGGCTAACATTTTAAGAAAAACAATGAGCCAAGAAAACAAAACAAACAAAATTCTCACAAAAGAAAAATCTGTGATATTTTCTAATGTTTTTAATAATTTTTTACTTAATAACATTGACTTCCTTACTTTTAGGGAATTAATGAAATTTTTAAACAGTTTTCCCTTGAATTTCTACCTCTAAAAATGAAAAAAAAAAAAAAATCCATATATAAATGCAACTGCATTTTGATGTTCAAATTTTAAGTTTGATAATTAAGTCTTCCAAACTAAATGTAAGTTGATAAATATTTTGTTTTAGATTTTAATAATTTAAAATGATTGTTGCTGCATAAGATATCCAACAATTAGAAATTTTGTAAGCTTAAATACATTAAATAGTTATTAACATTTTGTATTTAGTTTGCTAATTGTAAAGTTTAATAAATGTATTTATTGTAAATTTTGCAAAGTGTAATTCATTTCTGTTACAAAATTAAATACATAATAAGCATTTTGTTTTATATTTTTAAAACAACCTGAAAGTAAACATGTTGAAAAGTTGAACAATATGTTATGGTAACAATTAACTTTAAATCAAAACAAAACATCTTTTAATTCTGAAAGCCTCAAATGTTTATCATTTTTTATCATCAGCATTAGATAGGTTCAGAAAAATACGGAAACTAACTCAGTTTCAAAATCAAATTATAACTCAGTTAACTAGTTCCTTTATAGCTAATACAATTATACAGGATTGTTAGGAAAGTCAGTAATCCCCTATAACTTTTAAACCACCCATTGTAGTGTCACAGAAGTAATTGGCACATATAGGAAAGTGACCATGTGTAGTCCATTAACGGGATTTACCACCTCTTTACAGAACTAAAAACTGAAACCAACAGAGGCAAAAAAATCCAATTACAAAATGAAAGCATTGTTTAATTAGTACAAAAATTATTGTTTAGCAGAAATATAAAGAGCAGAATAGACTAAGAAAATAGTAAACATTTATGCACAAAACAACACAGATGTAATACACAGTTCATATGCAGCACAGGTTACAGATTAGCGTGTGTCTAATCTGTGGCATAGATCAACTAACTTGTCAAATGGGTTCTGCAGCAGCTGCAGAAAGCCTAAAGCAAAGTCATTGCTAATAAGATTGCTGCGTTGCATTGCGATGCATGTTGGCATATGTACATTATTATTATTACACTTAATGTCGTAATGCTAAAATTTTAATGTTAATATTTTATTTATTGGTTTAATTTATCTGTTAGTTGGCAATACATAATCCTTCTGTCCTTTTTCCTTGTTTGTGAAGCGGTACTTTGTAACAGTTATTGTAATAAAAGTTCTTTCTCAATATCTTTGTTTACTTCATGAGTGCAAACTTCTTATCCAACCAAGCCAACGTCCAGTTTGATAGTTTAATTTACAGCAGCTCGTAAGATGTTTTTTTGCTTTATCAAGATGGTTGCACTCATGGTGGACTCCTTAAGATTGAAAAATAACATTATAATCAAGAATTATCAATCTATTGAATAATAATAAAAATAAATAAGAATTTAAATGCTTGTTCGATGTTGAGCTTAATCGAACATTACAGTACTTTTGCATTCCAGTTAAATGTCATTATCTTTCGTCAAGGAACACTGACAAAAAGAGCATGTTTACCTCCATTAACGTTAAATAACTCTGCTATAATTTCACTGTTAGACAACTGTACAGATGCCTAACAGTGAAATTATAGCAGAGTTACTGTACAACATCAATAATTACTTCTCGGATGTGTGCTGCTTCCGCTTCAGCACACACTTGCACTGCTGAATTTAGCAATGAGTATAAATAGTCTACTATATAGCCAGTGGCGTGCCGTCATTAGAAGCGTTGGAAGCGCCGCTTCCCTCGTATTCTCTAAAAAATAAATAAATACAGTGGTGCCTCGTACAACGTACTTAATCCGTTCCAGGTGCACGTCCGTTAAGTGAAACGTCCGTTATACGAAACGCATTTTCCCATAGAAATACATGTTAAAACATATAATTCGTTCCGCAGCATAAAATAACCGTACTGTACCATAAAAAATGAAAATGGAGCAGACACCAATTATGCCGGGTAGTCAGATGTTGTGAGGAGGAGGTGGAAGAACACTTTCTTTACACATTCATGCAGATACAGACTTTTTACACATTGCAGCGGGTCTTTTTTTATTGTTTTTTAATCGGAGTCAGATTCAGGAGAGGCTACCGGAACTTGCAGGGTCAACTTCTCTTGTTCCATCCTTTGTTTTTTGCCCGCTGGCTTCTTGAAAAACATGACCAAGGTGGTCTGTTTCTCTTTCTTCTTTAACACCTGTCGGAAATGACGGACAAAGGTGTCATCGTAGAGATCATTGATCCTGTTGGCCTCAGCTCTGTTTGGATAATGAGTGTTGGTAAACTCCTGAACCTCTCCCCATTCGACAAGAAAGTTTTTGTCAACTTTCACTCCTGATGATTTCTTGCTTTGTTTCAATTGAAATCACCTTTCTGTTTTTTTAGAAGCCATGATGCATTATAAATGACTTAACTTGCCAGATTATATGATACGAATAATTCTTTATTAATTAAGATCACTAAACACTTCTACGAGCTACTCTCGCTCCGTTTGTTTTTTACAACCTCTTTTCGTCCCGCCACCTCGGCATCTACACAATTACATTTTGTTTATTTGAATCGTCAACATATACTGTATTACATTACATTTAATGTTTGTTTAAATCATCAACATATATTACACTAGCAGACCCCGCCACGCGTTGTTGTGGCTCAAAATGTATCTATATATTATAAATGTATAACACTTCCCCCGTGGGGGGAAATTTTTCGAAAAATTTCTTCTTAGTGTACATTCTCTTGACGTATCCTATTAAAACGCAATCAAAAACGCAAAAACCCGCATCTAAAATAGTATAATAGAATCCGAGTTCTTCACGGTAAGCCTGAATCCTGTCCCTCTCCCCCGCGGGGGGAATTTCNTTAAGACTCTGGCCCCTATATTTTATATGTATTTAAAAATAAATAATATTGAGGTAGATGATACAAAAGTTCCAGACAGATCACAAAACAAAATTTAAATGTCAGCCTATTATAAATACATACAATATGCAATAAGTGAAAAGTCTGAATTAACTATTACCCCTCTACAATATGAAAAATAATTAAAATCAATTACAAGTAACCATTGATTTAGTTAATACTATACTGATAAATATTTCACTTCTATTTCTGTAAAATTAATTTTCAAATATGCAAAATACTTTACTTACTTACAAATAAGTTTTGTTTTTTTTATATTTGTCTAACAATACACTACTGTACTGTTAGACAAATTGTACTGATGTGCAATAGAAAAGAAGAAAAATAATGGAGTATGTCCTATTGAGGAATTAAGACTTACTCTAATTTATGATTTAAAATCTCTTAATTTTTTATAATAGAGAATATGCTTACATTATCCAATAATTCTTCAAGTAGTTTACGTTTCTGTAAGGATCGAAGTCCTGGAGTATTTGGACTGGAAATGTTAATAACTAAATAATCTGCTAATTCTCCAAATTTTAAAACTCCTTTTTTGTAATCATCAATGGCAGAAGCACTATCTTTATTTCTGCCTAAGTTGACACCAATAATAAGATTGGGTTGGTTTTCTTTTATTTTTTGCAATCTGTTATATACATAATCTTGTCCTTCATTATTAAAGCCATAGCTATAACAATGAATATTTTCATTATTTCAACAATAGGATAAATTATTTTATCTATATTTATAAAATATAGTAAAAATTACAATTAAAATTTAAAAATTCTATTTATAATTTCTTTAAATTTTAAGTGTTAATCATACTATTGTATCTACATGTTTAACACACTAAACTACTGAAAATGTACAGTATTTGTTACTGTTAAAATTGTCAAAAGTTAATCATTTTACATGAATAATACAGTAGTTTATTTGTTTATCTTTTCATCTGTAAATGTTGTATATTTGAATGTCACAAGAAAGTTGTAGAATAAATGTTGCATGAAGTTGTAGAATATAAAAATATTTTGTTTGTTTATTTTTGTAATTATAAAAACATTGTTAGGTGTTAGGCTGTGGAAACAAACTGCAAAATGTTATATTGGAAATATATACAGTATATTAAAATTGTTATATTGGCTTTCTTGTTTTAAATTTCCAAATAGAAGTATTTATAAGAATTTTGATGAGATTTATATAGTTTAAGGATTTTAAGGAATAGCTTAAATTTTTAATTTTGTTAATTGATCTTATATTTTATATATGAGAGATGTTTTTCACTGTTTCTTTACAACAAATTGATGGAAATGTTTTTACTTGTAAATAAAAAAACATATACAATCAGATTGATACAAAGATTCAATAAATGCATATTCTGTTCAGAATAAAATAATGTGTTACTTGATATTTTAAATATTCATATTTTTTTTATAAAGTACATCCAAATTAATTTTATAATTTATTTTTTATTAATTATTAAAATTAACAGATGATAATACATCTACATTTATTTATTCTAAATTCTTGATTTTCTTAAATACAGATGATAATTTTGCTGAAAATTATTAAAATTTGGAAATTCAAATATTAGAATATCTTGTTATATGCTAAATATTTATACATATGAATGCTTATCAGTTAATCTGTAAGTTAAATTTCAATTAACACTCAGATTAATTTTTATATATAGTCAGGATAAGAATTTTATCTTCTAAATAGAAAAATGAGAACTCCATGTCATACATATCAATAAAAAAAAGTAGCTCCTTAGATTAATGATTTTTATTTTGGAAAATTTTACAAGAAATATTGACTTTCTATCCTCAAAATGTTAAATCATACCTAGTTTAATATGGACTGTATTTTTTTATTTGGTGAATGCATGGCAAGGAGTTATTATTTTCCCTATTCAGATTACTTGGAAACCAGGAAACAAGTTAATACTTCTTGAAAAAAGAAAGCATGAGTATTATATAAAATTAGTCAATCCATTTGAGAATATCAACTACAAGAAAATTCCTTACTTATTAATAATTCCTAAATCATTTTTTAAGCGAAAAACCCTTGGCTTTGGATTTCCTGGCTGAGGAAGTGGTGTGACAGATCCAATTTCTACAAATCCAAAGCCTGCTTTAAATATGCCTGGAACTGCTTCACAATTTTTATCAAATCCAGCAGCTAAACCAATTGGATTTTTAATTTTTAATCCCCAAAATGATGTCTCCTGAAAAGAAATACACATACATATATAATTCATTAGGTTTTAAAGAATAAAATAAATAAAATAATAAACTACTCACCAGAATTTGAGAATCACAAACTTTAGATTTAGGTATTAGTCCAGCACCAGCTGTAACTACTCCAAATCTGTGTGCAGTCTCTGGTTCTAAAACTTCATGTATCATAGGCAAAGCAATGTCACTATAAAATTTGGAATTACCTCTATATAAGGAAATTCCAGAAAAAGCAATACCTCCTCCAATTGCAACTATTGCTAAACTTTTCATTTTTCTCTGTAACAAACCAAATTTCATGATTTATTTTTTTAATAACTAAAGTAATTGAAATTTCAAAACTAAAATGAATAACAGAGCTTATCTATTATTTTTTACTATATACCATTTACTATTGCTGTATCAATACATTCTATACATTACAGAACCAAATGGCATTAATTTTTAAAAAAATTAATAGGGTTTTTTTAAAAAAAACTGTAGAATTATTTCTGTTTAATATAAGAAAAAATTAAAGTGAGAAACAGAGGGAGGGGGGGAGAAAGAAATTCACCATACACGTCAGCGAAATCAACCAATTTTACCACCGATCTCATATATGTCACGTCACAGTGATGTCATTGATTCCATTCTATCTGATATCCCCATTTAATATAATATAAGGAATTTATCCTTGTTTTATATTATACAACTGGTTACGTAGTATTCCAGGAAGAAGGAACAAGAGAAGAAAACAATATGCCAAGTCATTTGTCACTCACTTTCCGTGCTGAAACTTCTATTGTTTTGTTTAATCACATTAATAAAACTTTCTTATTAAAAGTAAATAAAGTAAAATATATTTAATTCTAAGCAGTTTTTCTTACTTTTTATCAATGTTTTTTACAGTTTTNTAAAGAAATCGATAACGCGTGGGAGCAGCCGTATTGTTGCACAGACAGAAAAACGAGTCTAAACACAATGTGCTTAGTGCTGGATTAACTGGATTATTATTCGAACGATCTTCTGCCTTATTGTGGGACTTTGTCATCGACGTTTTAAGTAATCTGGCATTCCGTATCTGCGTCATAAGTTAAAAAAGAGAGCAAAAACAATATTCTATCAAAATGTCAGACACAGAGTGAAGAAATTGAAACAAGAAAGAACGATGAACATAACGAAGCATTACTAGAACGTGCCATTGACGATTCGGGCGAAGAACCGAATACTGAAGATTCTGAACTTGAAACCATAACTTTTTTAATCTGGCGTTTATACGCTAGATTAAAAAAGATAGAAAAAGAATCTGAAGAGTTAAAACAAATACAGAGTGAACTTGATATTCAAATGACTGAGTCCTCCAGAAACAAATGACTATAACTATTATCACTCGAAGAAAAAATAGAAATTGACGGAAGATCTAGGACCATATTCTGGTCACTGTCTCTGGTCTGTCACAAGGCTCTAATCATTTGGCTTAGCCGATCAGCGACCAAGCCGGTCGATGATTGGCTAAGCCAAATGATTAGCCAATCAGCGACCGGCTTGTGAGAGACAAGAGACCAAAGATAGTGACCAGAATATGGGCCCTGTTTTTTGTTATAAACGTTGATTATGGAGCAACTGTTGAACAGCTGGAAGAACATTTTCGTGGTTGTGACACTATAAATCGTGTGTGGCTATTTAGTGTGATAAGTGCTCCATAATCAAATGTGCAGCTGTGGCACTAGTTGGGTTTTTGGTTGTCACATATGCAAGGCAAACCTTACTGGCAGGATGTCAAAGAAGCTTTCGGTGTGTAACAGTTTACGTCAACTTCTCAAGCGAACAGTACGGCGTCCCAGGATTATTCCATCAAGGATACAACCGGACAGACAATACTCACTAGGATACAAACCAGTGTAATCAGTAAGTACCATTGGATACTATTACGGACTATATCTTAACCATCTCGGGTATTTCGGGCTACCATCGGGACAATCCGCGCAAGCACTTGTGCGCGCTCAAAGTTTGTCGGTTCATTGTGCTATCATTGTCGGACTAGTGCGTCGGGCAAGTACAGTTGTTCCTTGATAATCCGACAGGCATGGGACCAAAGGGGGTGTCGGATTACCGAGTGTCCGGATTACCGAAAGTGATGACATATTTGGCATTGTTTCGCTAGCAGTAGCCTACAATATTCCTACGTTTTATGAGTAAAATGCTGCCTAGGTTAATATGGAAATGAAACACCCAATTCGGTTAAATAAAATATGTTTATTAAAAGAAATATGGAAGCCAATAAATGTACAGTACATACGGTATGTATAGCGACATGATTCTGTGCAAGCAAACACGTAACGAGGACAGGGACTATGGTGACCTTGACGGGAGGTGCGTCGGACTACTGAGCATGTCGGATTACAAAACGTCGGACTATCGAGGGACAACTGTACTTTGGTCCAGTGCCACGGTTCATAAACGTTAGCAGAATAGTGCATCAAGTAACCTTATTTGGTTTAAGTTTAAAGCTCAGTTTTTCTATGGTTACTAGCGAGGTTGAGGCCGAAGTTTTAAACGCTAAAACGTGTACGTCGGACGTTCAGCGCCGCTTTCCTGTAAGCCTAGAAGTTTGACAATGGCGTTTGGAATGTCGAACATGATTCCACTGACTATCTAAACACCATTGTCAAACTTCTAGGCTTACAGGAAAGAGGCGCTGAACTTCCGACGTACACGTTTTAGCGTTTAAAACTTCGGCTTCAACTTCGTTATTTTCTTGGTTATTCTGCATTAAAATGTATGAAATGCTATCATACAAACAGCTTCCCTATCATCAAATGTCACGGCACGCCACTGATTTAAAAGTCTATAGGCCTATATAAAAGCTAGTGGATTAGCCCAGCGTAGGTCAGTTAAAACATCAACAGCAAACATTAAGATTATTATATCATTTTGTACTTCTATCCTGTAAACACTATCATATTATAGTGTGTAGTTTATATAGTTTGTCTTTTTTTCATTTCTTTTGATGCTAATTAGACTATTTTCTTACGTGCATAGAAATACGTTCGATATTTCGCTAAAACCCAAATAACTTCTACAATAGTACAGTAGAAAGCGACTTTCTCAAGGTACTTTTTAACTGTCTATCTCCATTCCGCCGGGTGAATTTTTTAAAAAAACCGTTTTTACTGTTTGCATTCTCATGGCGTACCCTAACTGTGTACCAAATTTCAACTTTTAACTCCTAATCATTTTTGCTCTGGGTTTATTATTGTCATTATCATTATATCAACCCATTTCGATTATATTAGATTCGCTAACGGGTGGATCTATTTCTTTTAACTGTAGCCGAGAAAAGCACGCAACTCTATGCAGGATATTTCCATGTTGTTTTACTTATGTGGATCGGTGTTTAACTTTACATTACTTGGACTAGTGACTTTGTTTTAATCGTTTCATTCTACTTCATATGTAATTGTTTCGTATTGTGGAATTTTTCTTGTATTTGTGGCCCTTATGCCAAAGTGGTATTTTTGATATACAGCAACTGACTTAGTTGCTGCCTACCAAAAATGTGTAATGTTTTAGTAATAAAAAATCAAAATAGTAGTAGCTCGGAACGTCCCTTAGTGGGCGTTCTTTACAAATTCCCATGAGGCACGTTTCCTTTAACTTTTTTGTTCCCATCAATATGTTCTACAGCTCTGTTAAAGTCCCAATCGCGTCATACGGATCTATATTTCTATCTATTAAACATTCTAAAAAACTTTAAAATAGTTTCATTTGTTTATTTACCTTCGGTTGTAAACCTCGATTTTAAATGTATCTGCCATTTTTTCAACAAATTTCCCGTGAGTCAATGCGCGACGTTCACTGACTTGTAAGTCACGGGATGTTGTAAACATGCGGCGCGAGGTTAATCTATGCATATAATAAGGCAAGGCAAGGCATATAATAATTATTTATACCATTCCGTGGTAAAAATAATAAATTCGTATCAATAATAAATTTGTATTACAAATAATAATAATTTATTGTTAATTTAAAATCATGGCTAGGGCGCATCTAGTGCCCGTTTTGGCATACCGTTACGCGGACGGTCGGTCGAACGGACAAACTGACACGCGTTCAATGGGTTGTATAGATAGATAATTATATAATTTACTATAAAGCAGAGCCGGCCCTACCATAGGGCAAACGGAGCAGCCGCTCCAGGCGCTAAGTCCTAGGGGGCGCTTCAGTGGTAAAGAAAATTAAAGGGTATAAATTAGGGACAGCTAAGGGGGGCGCCATAATAGGATCTCGCTCCATCCTAAAACTTGCCTCGGGCCGGCACTGGGTAGGTGTTACAAAACAATTACTATGGTTGTTGAAATATTCAATATAAATAGGGTTTGTTTGCAAAACCTCCGCGGGCGAAGTCGCGAGTAACAGCTAGTCTTATAATATAATCGAAATGGGTTGATAATAATATACGCAGAGTCCAAACGGTTAGGAGTTGAAAGTTTAAATTTGGTACACAGGGTACGTCATGAGTAGTGATGTGCCGGATATCCGTAACCGTATCCGTATCCGCGGATTTCCAGCGGAAAAAAAAGATCCGTACCCGGATCTTTAACGGATCTTTTATCTTAATGAATTTCATTTCTTATATGAAATTTTAAAGATAGGTAGCAATAGCACAATTCGTCGTTTACTATCGTAAAATATTTCCATATTACACTACTAAACTTTTTTGTCGACATTGTTTTTATTTTAATTTAACTCAACACTCTCCAAAAACACAAANCATGTAAATCTGCGAAGTTCACTGAAAAAATGAAGAAAAATGCTTCAGAAATAATTAGGAAACTTATTACTTAGTGGAATCAAGATCAAAGTCTTCTCTTTATCACAAGCGTAAAGGCTTTAAGACGCTCTGGCACTTTTTTAAAACTCTCTTTGCCCTTTGGGCACTAAGAGACCCTCTTTTATCAGGCCGACAATGGGGCGACCAGTAGGCCGGATGGCCGAGCAGTCAAGGTGGCAGCCTACTGCTCTGGGGAACCCGGACGGATTGAGAAATCCCCAGGAATTTTTCGGGGGTGGACCCGAACATATCCATTTGGATATGTTGGGTCTGGGCTTGGCCGAACCCATAATGAGCCTGCTAAAAGAGGCCCTCTTAGTGCCCACAGGGCAGAAAGTGTTTTAAAAAAAGGGGCAACTGGGTGGTGAGGGATGGGGCCCAACATATCCAGACAGACCACCCCGAAAAATTCCTGGGGTTATTTCGCCCCGTTCAGATTCTAACCTGGGTCCCCCAGAGCCGTAGGCTGCCACCTTGATTGCTTGGCTATCCGGCCTCCGACGTTCTGGCACTAGTTTTGTATCAGTCCATTATTTGAAGAAAAAGAATACCGACGTAGTGTGAAGTTAATGCTAACTGCCTCATAAATTTATTGATAGGGTCTGATGGACCTGATGTAAATAAGAGAGTTCTCCAGCTTTTCCAGGAATATATGCTCATGTTCAGCCTAAAAGACTTGTAGATGTTGGCATGTATTCGGTGTATATTGTCCACAGTGCATTCATAAAGGTAATGGGGCATCTTTGTCAAGATGTGTCAGAATCACGGCCGATTCTGGTAGGTGAGCAGTGTGTGTGTGCATGCATGCAGGCAATCAAATTCCCAGGGCAGCCAATAATGCACTTTAAAAAATAAAATTCATATATATTTTAATATAGTGGTTGCAATGAAATAGATTGATGTTTGCATGACGACTGATGATAAAGCTGTCCAGTTTATGGATGTATATATGGACGAAGCATACATGTTAGATGTTTTATATCAGAAAACAAAAGTGAGGGATTTGTCCATTAAACCAGAGAGAGATTCATCAGTGGAAATTCCATAACCAATATGATTGTTTCTTGTTTTAAATCACATAAATAGCATAAAAACCTGGACTTTGTAAACAAAGTTTGCAAACTCCAAGCTTTATTAATGTTAACGTTAAGGTACGGTTACTGTGGATGCGAATTCTGACAAAATCTTGTTCTGACGAATATGTCTGAAATCCTCATCAGAACAAGGTGGGTACACTGTGCATTTTCTGACAGTCAGTATGTTTCTGCCTCCCAGCAAAATGAACAAACTTGATGAGTTTTATTTTCTTGAAAGTCCATTGATTAACCACTTATTTTCCACAAGAGACAATAAGGGAGAGTTCCAAATGTTATATCAAGATTTGTAGAACAACCCACAAAAGTTTTGAGTATTTCAGAATGAGAGCTATCTCTGCCAAGAAATATCTCTGTTGTGATAGTTTTTATCTTTCATGTCCCACAAACACCTATTCTCGAACACAAGACTAATCAATTTATCAATATCCATGTTGAAAAAGCCAAAACACTCGAAATTTAACATCAGAACACACAAAAAATCAAACTCGTTTGAACACTCGAATGGTTCTGACTACATTGTGCGTGTTCTGACATGCCCTTTGCTGCCAAAGTAAACACTCTGATTGGAAAACAGGTATTTGTTTGTTTGGACGAACTCGTCAGATCAAGATTTCATCAGAATTCACATCAACAGTAACCGTAGCCTTATGATTTAGTTAAAGTTTACACTTAATTCAACCATTCACAATGAGTTACGTAAAATAGGGTTTTAATTTTCATAGTGAAGGGGGTTTGTATTCTCATACCGTTAATCTTAAAGCTATACTTACACCATTGTTTTAATTGTTGACAGAATAAAAAGGAAATTTAAGAAAGAGATGTGCATGAACGTTATTAATTTAAATATTCATATTTAATTTTTATATACACACATATATTTTCTTATAACAATATATGTATCATCAACTTGTTTTTAAAATTATTGAAAATTGCTGATTTTTATCAAGATTTTAAATTAAATATTTACAACATTGTTATCAAATTAGGAAAAGATTTTGAATTTTATATTTATCAAATTTTTTTCATTAGTACATAAGTTAAATGTTAAAAGTAGATTTTATTAATTTTTAATTTTGCTACATTTATTGATGTAATACTGTATATTGTATATGTTTTCAAAATAATGCAGCATTTTAATTTGTTGCTGGGATTGAACTTTTATCAAGTAGACAGAATATTTCATTTTTATCTGATTGAATTTTATTTCAATTAATTTCAAAGTTTCAAATAATATTGTTTTGGAATTTTATACAAAGCAAATAAATTATATTGCAGTTTATGCTAAATTGATAAAATTTTCTAATTAGAATAAAACATTCATCTATTATAAAAAAAGAAATATGCTCACAGTAATGGTATTTTAATTATTTGTCATAAAAAAAAAAACAGTTCTTGATAAAATTTTCCAAGTATTTTTCATTTAATTGACAACCTGCATTTTTAAACTACTCTCAAATACTTATGTTATTTCAAATTTACTTTACTGTAGATATTATAGTATGCACCAGAAGTCATCTAATATTCATAAAAATTATATAATTATTTAATTAATAATGTATGGTACTACATAGATTAAATTGGAAAAGAGAAATGAGAAAACTGCATTGAAAAATAGCTAAATTGCTTAAATTTTATTTGTTTGTATAAAATAACTTTTAAAAATTAGTATACACAACAATAACAACTAAACTTTTTATAATTACAAATATGAGAATATTCTTTTATATAAAACAGCTTATCAAATGTTTACAATATTTACAAATAAATAAAAATAAATTATGTAGGCAAATTTCTCTCTCCCCATTTTATGTCAGCTCCAACAGCTTCTATTATATTTGCATATCCATCTGCCCTGTGGGAAATATTTTTGAATTTTAAATTAAGTTAAATCCTATAAAAAAAGAAGTATGACAACATTTACCTCAATAAATCTTCCAATTCCTTCTTAATTTCTGTAACAACAGGTGGACCCTTATACACAAGTGCTGTGTATAACTGAATGAGGGAAGCACCTGCTTTAATTTTTTCATAGGCATCTCTGCCAGTAAAAACACCTCCCACTCCAATAATTAACATTTTTCCTGTTAAAAATAAAAGTTAAGTTATTTACCTGCTGCTGTTTTTTAAATTTTAATTAATCTTACCTTCAGTAAGTACAAACATATCTCTGATGGCTTCTGTTGACATATTTGTTAAGGGTTTGCCACTCAGACCACCATCATTTTCAACCAAATCAATAAGATTGTCTGGTCTACTAATAGTTGTGTTACTTACAATCAATCCATCAACTTCTTTCTAATGAAATTTTATTCAAGTAAGTACAGTACATATTTAAATTTTATAAAAATAATAATTCACAAAATTTGTTTACCCCTTTTCTTTTCACAGCTTTAGCAATATCTTCTCTTTCTGAATATGTTGTATCTGGGGAAATTTTTACCAGAAGAGGTGTTTTTTTAAAAAGTTTGTTTCTTACTTCTAATACCTGTTAAAGGAAAGAAGGAAAAAATTTAATGTCTGTTGTATAAATTAATGAAAGTTAGAATAACACAAGTAAAACTTCAATTTTTTTTTCCACCAGAAAACAAGTATTTTCTGTTTTCTGATGGAAAAAAAACATGGCCTGTATAATGCTGAGAAGAGTGTCAAAATTTAAATAGGTAGGAGAAATATAAATTTATAGATAAAGATAAAAATCATTATTGGGATTATTTTCTATCCGATTTAACATTGTTTTTCATTGTCAGTTTTGTTCATTTATATTGTTTGTCCATCTTTATTCCATCTCCTGTATTTAAAATTCTATTTGCAGTTTATAGTAGTGGATATAGAACAAAGAATTTTTATGTTTTCTGGAAATGAGACTTGAGAGAACTTGAAATAATTCTAAAGGATAAAATTCAAGTAGTGTAAAATAAAAAAACATGCTGACTTATTTTTTTTATATAATTCACTAAAAATATATTTGAAACTTTGCCAAAAATGTTATTTGTAAAAAAATGTACTAATATTTTATTTTTGCATTCAAAAAAGAATTTTCATTGTAATGTTTTCAATATTTCACTTTACATAAAAATTATGTTAATTAAAAATTGGTATGTACAGTACAGTACAGTAATGTGTGGTATAAAATAAGTATACAATTTTAACATAAAGCAAATTCCTATAACTTTCAGTGTTTTGACAAAGAACTCTAACAAAACTTTGCATTTTTATTGAAACTGTTTTTGAATGATCATGCAAAGTTTCACTGTCCAAAGTTAAGCCTATCATTAGTAACTATTGTATCCACAAACATTTTTCCATAACAATTTTAATTTTCTAAAATTAGATGTAATTAATCCTAAAATATTAAGATTTTATGCCAAGAACTAAAACAGTAAAGTGAGTGATGATCAAAAAATTTTCATTTAATTAATCAGTAATCAAAATGATTGTATCTGGATATCTTAGAAAATGATCATTGATATTTATTTGTTATGTAAAATAATACTTAATATTTGTAATCTTTTGAAGTAGAAGTACAAAAAGCTGATAACTGCCATCATCAATTTAATTTTCTGCATTCAATAATAAATGTGAATTTAAACACTAGATCTGGGACACAGGCCTTAATTACTTTTGATAATACAGAAGGTTCAGTATTACAAAAGTAGTTAAGACTCTGGCCCCTATATTTTATATGTATTTAAAAATAAATAATATTGAGGTAGATGATACAAAAGTTCCAGACAGATCACAAAACAAAATTTAAATGTCAGCCTATTATAAATACATACAATATGCAATAAGTGAAAAGTCTGAATTAACTATTACCCCTCTACAATATGAAAAATAATTAAAATCAATTACAAGTAACCATTGATTTAGTTAATACTATACTGATAAATATTTCACTTCTATTTCTGTAAAATTAATTTTCAAATATGCAAAATACTTTACTTACTTACAAATAAGTTTTGTTTTTTTTATATTTGTCTAACAATACACTACTGTACTGTTAGACAAATTGTACTGATGTGCAATAGAAAAGAAGAAAAATAATGGAGTATGTCCTATTGAGGAATTAAGACTTACTCTAATTTATGATTTAAAATCTCTTAATTTTTTATAATAGAGAATATGCTTACATTATCCAATAATTCTTCAAGTAGTTTACGTTTCTGTAAGGATCGAAGTCCTGGAGTATTTGGACTGGAAATGTTAATAACTAAATAATCTGCTAATTCTCCAAATTTTAAAACTCCTTTTTTGTAATCATCAATGGCAGAAGCACTATCTTTATTTCTGCCTAAGTTGACACCAATAATAAGATTGGGTTGGTTTTCTTTTATTTTTTGCAATCTGTTATATACATAATCTTGTCCTTCATTATTAAAGCCATAGCTATAACAATGAATATTTTCATTATTTCAACAATAGGATAAATTATTTTATCTATATTTATAAAATATAGTAAAAATTACAATTAAAATTTAAAAATTCTATTTATAATTTCTTTAAATTTTAAGTGTTAATCATACTATTGTATCTACATGTTTAACACACTAAACTACTGAAAATGTACAGTATTTGTTACTGTTAAAATTGTCAAAAGTTAATCATTTTACATGAATAATACAGTAGTTTATTTGTTTATCTTTTCATCTGTAAATGTTGTATATTTGAATGTCACAAGAAAGTTGTAGAATAAATGTTGCATGAAGTTGTAGAATATAAAAATATTTTGTTTGTTTATTTTTGTAATTATAAAAACATTGTTAGGTGTTAGGCTGTGGAAACAAACTGCAAAATGTTATATTGGAAATATATACAGTATATTAAAATTGTTATATTGGCTTTCTTGTTTTAAATTTCCAAATAGAAGTATTTATAAGAATTTTGATGAGATTTATATAGTTTAAGGATTTTAAGGAATAGCTTAAATTTTTAATTTTGTTAATTGATCTTATATTTTATATATGAGAGATGTTTTTCACTGTTTCTTTACAACAAATTGATGGAAATGTTTTTACTTGTAAATAAAAAAAACATATACAATCAGATTGATACAAAGATTCAATAAATGCATATTCTGTTCAGAATAAAATAATGTGTTACTTGATATTTTAAATATTCATATTTTTTTTATAAAGTACATCCAAATTAATTTTATAATTTATTTTTTATTAATTATTAAAATTAACAGATGATAATACATCTACATTTATTTATTCTAAATTCTTGATTTTCTTAAATACAGATGATAATTTTGCTGAAAATTATTAAAATTTGGAAATTCAAATATTAGAATATCTTGTTATATGCTAAATATTTATACATATGAATGCTTATCAGTTAATCTGTAAGTTAAATTTCAATTAACACTCAGATTAATTTTTATATATAGTCAGGATAAGAATTTTATCTTCTAAATAGAAAAATGAGAACTCCATGTCATACATATCAATAAAAAAAAGTAGCTCCTTAGATTAATGATTTTTATTTTGGAAAATTTTACAAGAAATATTGACTTTCTATCCTCAAAATGTTAAATCATACCTAGTTTAATATGGACTGTATTTTTTTATTTGGTGAATGCATGGCAAGGAGTTATTATTTTCCCTATTCAGATTACTTGGAAACCAGGAAACAAGTTAATACTTCTTGAAAAAAGAAAGCATGAGTATTATATAAAATTAGTCAATCCATTTGAGAATATCAACTACAAGAAAATTCCTTACTTATTAATAATTCCTAAATCATTTTTTAAGCGAAAAACCCTTGGCTTTGGATTTCCTGGCTGAGGAAGTGGTGTGACAGATCCAATTTCTACAAATCCAAAGCCTGCTTTAAATATGCCTGGAACTGCTTCACAATTTTTATCAAATCCAGCAGCTAAACCAATTGGATTTTTAATTTTTAATCCCCAAAATGATGTCTCCTGAAAAGAAATACACATACATATATAATTCATTAGGTTTTAAAGAATAAAATAAATAAAATAATAAACTACTCACCAGAATTTGAGAATCACAAACTTTAGATTTAGGTATTAGTCCAGCACCAGCTGTAACTACTCCAAATCTGTGTGCAGTCTCTGGTTCTAAAACTTCATGTATCATAGGCAAAGCAATGTCACTATAAAATTTGGAATTACCTCTATATAAGGAAATTCCAGAAAAAGCAATACCTCCTCCAATTGCAACTATTGCTAAACTTTTCATTTTTCTCTGTAACAAACCAAATTTCATGATTTATTTTTTTAATAACTAAAGTAATTGAAATTTCAAAACTAAAATGAATAACAGAGCTTATCTATTATTTTTTACTATATACCATTTACTATTGCTGTATCAATACATTCTATACATTACAGAACCAAATGGCATTAATTTTTAAAAAAATTAATAGGATATAAAATAAAACATAAAAAATAGCAGCATTTAAAACATGTTTAAAAATGTTTTTAAAATCTTTTTGTAAACTAGTCAATGTGCTTCAAGAGTAGCTTAGCCTGTTTACTAAAACAAACTTAGGAACATAATTAAAAACATTATTTAAGACTCCTGTAAACAATATACAAAGGGGTCTTCTTGTTGCCATTCACACCAACAAGAACACTATTCAAAACATTTTTCACTAGATTCACTAAATGCAATGAACAACATGAGTTCAACACAAATTTTGAATAGTGTTGTTAGTTCAAATGGAAGCAAGAAGACACTTGTCTATTATTTACAAGATTTTCAAAATACATGGACATTTGAAGAACAGTAGACTAGCCCATAAATGAAGGTTAAAAAAATGTGTTTCAAGTGCTCTTGTTTTTTAAAAATAGTTTGAAAAGATTTGCCTTTTTTAAATGGTGTTCTAAAAGCATTTTCTGTACAACTATATGGATATTACTTTATCAATATTTTATCATGTTTTCCTTAGTAAGTATTCAAAGCTGCACATATTTTTATATTTTCATCATATTTTTAGTCATACATCTAGCATTCATTTCTGATAGTTAACAAAGCCTTACTTATAAATACAACTTACTATAAACCTTGAACTTGAAGCCATGATTATAATTTTTCAAAAAAAGTCTTTCTTTCTGCAAAAATTAAGAAAAAGAAAATTTGTTCACTTTGTTTCATGTTATTTAGAAAACATATATTATTGATTAAAGATAATTTTTAAAATTAAAGTTCTAACTTTATTTAACCTGTTGTATTAATATATATAAATTATATTGATAAAAATCACTTTTTAATTTTGAAAACAATGTTCATGTTTGCAGAATAAATATCTTAAAATTTAATTTAATTCAGTGGTATTAATCATATTCTGTAAGAATCTTATTTTACTTTTGTTATAATTTCTAACTTAAAAAATAAAATGCAGGATTTACAATATATGGCTTAAGAAACATGCTATAACAGACTTATCTGTATAAATTTAACAATTTGTGATGTAAAGTAACCAGATGTCCCAAATTAGGCAGGATAGTCCTACTGTTTAATTTGCTGTCCTGATTTTTAAACCATTTGAAAAATGTTCCACTTTTGGATTATTTCATAATTATATGCAAAAATAGCCAATATTCATTGCATAAAATGTAAGTCAACAAAGAATCTCATATATAATAGTGTAAAAATTCTAATATCTAATTGTGTGGATCAGTTATAAAAAACAGAGTTGACGGTTTTTGCCAAGTATCTGAGTTAAAACAAAATAAAATAAAATGGTTAAAACAAACAAAGCTACACTCTGAACTATAATTAATTGTTCATTGTCACTATCACTTTAGATCATTAGTTTGTAAAGAAAGAGTACAGTATATGGATAAGTGAAACATTCATTGTTTATTTGTAAAATCTGTCACTGATGATGTCAGAAAGCTAGAAAACTGAGGATAGTAGATGAGAATCAATCACAACTCATATGTCATCAAATTGTCATGTCGAAACTCTCAGCATCCATCCTTCTTTTTACATTTCAGGATCAGGTCCCTTTACATTATGTGAAAGTTATTATTAGACAATAACTCTTCAGTTCTGTTACTTCATAGAAATCAGAAAACTATTGTTTGTTTAAGAGCTGAATTTAATATGGGGCTATATTAAATTTGAAAAAGCTTTCCATAAAATTTTTATAAAAAAGAAAATAAAGCAATGAAAATATTTGACAGTTTAAATTACAAATTATCAATTTCATAGTTTTATCATTTGTATTAACAATTCTTTTTATCAGTGATTAGTATCATATCACTTTATTTATTAAAAGGCAATAATAAAAATAATAGTCTGTATATTAAAAATAATAAAATAATCACAAAATCAGTTTTAGAAAACTGACTTGTGATTTATTACTTTTTTAATACAATACTTATAAAATTGTTTCTTTACCATTGTTATGATGCAGTCTAGTTATGTAACAATATATAGATATAGTATTTATTAAAAATAATGCTAGGCAAAATTTACTACATATAAAAATCTTAAAATGCTTCAAATAAATACTAGATGATGAATAAGCATTTCTGATATTGATTAGTTAGATCAACTGATATCAGAAATGTACCTAAATTATCTTTTTATCATTCATAGTAGTGTTTGTTCATTTCTATTTGAAAATTTTTTTAATAAGAAAGTATGTTTAATTTAAACAATAGGTTATTAAATAAAAATAACAGTAATCAAATATGGAAAATATGCATTAAAAGACATGTTTCTAAATAAATCAAAGAAGACAATTATAAAATTTAAAGTGAACATCATATGTATATATTTTCTAGCATTATTGTGAAATTCATTACAATTTTCTCCCTGTTAGTTTACTATTATTGATATTGCTCTTTTCTTAAAATAAGAAGTTTTTATAAATTATTTCAAAATTACATTTATGCCTTATATATTTTATGCTACAGAAAATTTTTTACAAAAATAATACTGTAAATTATATATAGAGGGGAAAAATCTCATTAAAAGAAAACATCTTGGTAAAAGATGATCTTGCCAATAGAATAAGCTAAGGTTCCTAACTTTAAAATCAGATTTATATGTCAAATATGTTATTATATTTTAGCAAATCATCATATTTATTTACATGGAACATTTTCTAAAATAAACTTATCAGAGAAAAAAATTTAAAATATGTTTTAGAACAATTTATCATCCTAAGATATGAAGTAAAAATAAATAAATAAATTTAAAGAAATCAATGGTTTCTTTTTTTTGTGAGATTAAAAAATACAATAATGAAAGTTACTTAGTAATTCTGCCAGCCCTTTTCTACAAAGAAATATTATATTTTTAATTGTGTTGGGATTGTCACCTGTGGACATTTTTAACTGTTTTACATATTTGTGCAGAGGCATAGCCTCTAAAGAAAGGTTGTCTCTGCAATGGAAATAGTTGTTCCTGGTGATTGGACATGGCAAGCAAAATTGGACTCGTATCCAGATGTATTTTACTTTTTATTAGAAAGTTACTTAATTTTAACAGTAATTTACTAAAAAATAGAGGGGAATTTTTTTAAAGTCCAAAAACAGTTATCCTCTAGGATGCCTTTTAGTAAAACTATTCTAGGATTATCATCAAGTTTAATATATTAATCATATCTTAAATATTTTTATGAAATATTCTGGGTAAAGCAGTAGCCATTTATGCTATGCAACATGGTATAAACATTAAAATTGAAGCCTTTTTTTTGATAATTAGAATAAGAAATTCTTCAAATGAATAAAAATAACAATATCCCTATAGTAAAGTATTTTAGAACAATTATAACTTGTTTAAGAGCAAAAGTCAGTATATAAGTAATTTGTTCTCCAAATTTTCTTTTATGCTAGCCAGATATGGAATATTGTTCATTTTATTTTTATCAACTGATGATTTTTTAATTTTGGTTGCTCATTATTATTATTATATAATATGTTTAATAATTTAATTTCACAGGAATCAAACAGTTTAGAAAATTCAAACTTTCATAGTTGGTATTCAGATAGTACGAATTTTCCACCAAATTATTATCAAAAGAATTGAGATTGAATAGCTTCTGTTCAATAATAATTTCATAGTTTTTGAAACTTCATACATCTTTATATTTAACATATAAAACTGATTTTAAAGTTAGGAACCTTGGCTTATTTTATTGGCAAGATATATTTTAAACAAAGGTTTCCCCTCTCGGTAATAATATTGCACATTATTATTATTGTGTTCTATAATATCGACCAAAAAAAATTTTTTAGCTTAAATTTATGCATGCATTCGTTTTGTCTGAACAGTACAACTATTACGTCAATTTGACGTCATTCTTCCTGTTGTCTTACGAGAAAGTGCGAAAATGACGTCAATTTGACGTATAAGCGTACACTATTTAGACAAAACGAATGTACTTTTAAAGAATTTAAATTTGTAATTTATGAATGCTTTAACATATCTTACACAAGACGTTCGATGTGAAATATTCCTCTTCAAATATATAAAGAAATTACAATCTACAAAAAAAACAAGTATAAACAAATAAGCATGCATGCGAGCATGCTTTCCGCCATTTTTATACTCTGGAACTCGATTAATTTACGAATTACTTGAAATATAAAACTATTAATTTAACATTTTAAACTATCACAATGATAAAAATATAAACACATAGATGTAAAAAATATTTTTTCACAATAAATACGTAAGCGTGATCAAAGTACAAACATATTTTGGTAATTACAGTACAGTATATAATTACCAAATTTTTGTGAAAAACGAAGAGTATGATCTGTCGTTATTATAAATACAATATGGGAATATTTTTCCCATTGCTTTTAAAAAATTACAAAAAATTTTTCATTTAAATTAATTTCTATAAGAAGTTTTACGAAGTGATACTTGACAGTTGGTGCATTCAACAGACTCAACGGTTCCAATTGAGAAAAGTGTACGCCGGGAAAATAAAAGAATCACGAAAATTCATCCGATATAAAATCTGACAAATGTTTAATTTTTTGTGTTTTTAATCAAATTTTTGCAATAACAATAACCTCAGGCCGTACAAAACAAAATGGGAATTTTTGATATATGAACAAAAAATACGTGATTATAACAACAGTCACATCACTCGCGAAAACCTTAACGAAAAATTAGGTCAAAGACTTAAATTTAAAGCATAAGTAAATAGAGCCCAAAACAAGGAGGCGAATCATTCACTGTAATATATTTGAAAAAAAAAAACCAAGATAGAGCGGTTGGTAGCATTCCATTTTTTTTCATTTCACTTCTACCTTCGACTCATTATATCCTAATAGCAGCGAGAACAGAAAAACAAAGGTGGTAGTTGCCGATTTCCTATGTATTGATACAAAAAAGAGTGACTTACAAAATTTGAGATCCTTAAGCTTCCGTCTCTTTTCTTCTTTCTTAAAAAAAAGTCTTTACCAAAATTCAAATGGTACCTAGTAATTACCGCTCTCTATCGTCCGCATGCTTACCTTATTGACTTCAATTTTCTTTTTGTAGAAAATTTTTAAGGCTCCTTGATACTCGAGGCCCTAAACAAAAAGGTAACATAGCTTACTTGTAAACATGGCCCGGATGGGACAGATGTCAAAGCTAAACACCAACAAACTAAGTCAACAAGGCAAACGCAAAACACCAAAAAACTAACTTTTTACAAAAATCTTTGAAATCCAGCACCAACCAATTATTATTGCTAGCGGGACAGGTCATTACATGTGGTATTAGGCCTATAGAAACAAATGAGCGAGATCGTTCTATATACTTATGTTCTTTGTGTTAAAAACATTAGCTTTGACATCTGTCCCATCCGGGCCGTGTTTACAAGTAAGCTATGTTACCTTTTTGTTTAGGGCCTCGAGTATCAAGGAGCCTTAAAAATTTTATACAAAAAGAAAATTGCAGTCAAATTTTGTAGTAATAATTTTTTACAAACCAACAAAATATACTTTAAATACTACACAAAATAAAAAATAATATCTTTATGTTAATTCTTTTATTTTTATGATTGACTTCTAACAATGTAAGGGGCCTGACACGGAGTTCAGCTTAGGGCCTCGAAATGCTTAAATACGGCACTGTCTCACACAAAATTACCGGCATTTTAAACTTTAAGGAAAGATCCTTAAAAATTGATAGCATAACTTGTTCGTATAAAGCTGGACAATTTATAAACTTTTTTGCCAATTCATAGCAGTCGAATCTATTCTGTTATATTTATGAGCTTCTCCGAATTCTGATTTCTGAATAATTATGTTTTTCATGTGAGAATAGACTAAAACTGATATTGGGCTCCCGTATGGCTTTGAAATTGCAATTTGGAACGTAACAGAAAGCTTTTCTTTTTTCTATTGCTATTCATCTTTACTGTTGACAATACACAAGAATGATTCAAACACATGCGCTTAGAAGTAGGAATGAATCATCACAGTAATTGGCTGTAACTGCCACGTTTTCTCTCTAGAAAAAGCAAGTGATCGTATTATATAGAGTCGATATAAAAATGGCCTGGCAAAGTTAGTAGGAATTTTTTTCCCTTAGGAATAACTCATAATATGATGATTAACAATCTTAATAAATGAATTAAAAAGCTATTTTTTCTTTAATATTATTATATGATTATACCTTTTCATTTTAAAATAATTTTCAGACCCTTCCTTTTTTTTAACTTAAAATATTTTACAAATTTTGATATATAATATAAACGAAAATACTTATTAATTAACTAGCCGACTAATTTTTTGCACGGGAAATTTCAATATAACTTCTATACATTTTTGTAATTTTACACTATATGATAATAAACTTAATTATAAGTGAGATTTATCAAATTTTATGCTTAGATCGTTCTTTTAACTCCTTTCTCTATTGATTTACCCGGTGGTAAATCAATAGAAAAGAATAGGGGTTTTAATACCAATGTGATTAAACTTCACTGCTAAAGGAACTAGTCTTTCTGGAAGAGAGCATTCTTTGGACTAAGCATTGACAACTTCATTAAAACGTCAAAATTTTCAAGCGACCTCATCCTAACCTGCGTTGCTAAATTCATAACAAAGTCGAAAGCATTATCTTTATCTTATTTACTGTTTCTACAGATAAAGATGTGCCTTATCCACTAAATTTCTAAACTGGTAATCAAAATACATGCATGAAATAGGCATCAAATGTTTTTCAAATTCAAAAGTTAGATATTCCTAAGGTTTCATCTTTTCAAGTTTACTTGGAATTACAATACTTTTTAGCAGATTTAACTACCATAAGCAGGTTTAATTCTACAACAAAGATTCTAGCAAAATTGTAAATTTTATTCAAGTTACATATTTTAAACAGGTTTTATATGTTCACAGATACCATAATATTTTCTATTCCCTTCAAAGATTCCCTAGTAATTTCTATCCATTAGAATTTCCTTCAAATAAATTTTCAACATTTCTATATTTTCCTCTGCTCCTCTGACTAAATGTTTTTTCCTCAAACAATTGCTGAAACAATTACTCATAAATTGTTCAAACAATTGTCAAATACGAAAGTTTCTCTCTAGATCTAGAGGGAAACTTTCATATTTGATAACATTGGTACTGGAATACGCAGGCTGAGCGCGTTGCCTGATAAAGCGGCTTTAATACAGCTGGATAAACAAAGCAGTAACATAACCTGTTTTATTTGAAACGAATTATGTCATTGGTTTGCTTATCCAGTTGTATTAAAGCCGCTTTAACAGACAACGCGCTCATTGGTCAACACTATGGTATCTGTGTGTGAGGTTCGCAGAAGGTACTGTACAGTAGACCGCCCTATAACAATGTTGATAATTCCGTGTTATGTGAATTCCATGTTGTACGAGTCACTTAGATTTTACAAATACGTGTGCCGGGCTGTGAACGGCTCACGTATTTGTAAAATTTAAGTGACTCATACAATATGGAATTCATATAACACGAAATTAGCAACAGTGTTATAGGAGTTCTACTGTATCTCTTTTTGAAGCTTAAAACTTTCGGAGGACCAAGCACGTGTTTCTTGCTCCTGTACGTTGATCCATCACTGACTAACGAAAATAGCTTTGTTCACTCTCGCTGTTTTGTATCATTCAATAAGGCAGCACCCAGCTTACAAATTCACGTGGTATTAAAAGATCAAAATACCGAGAAAAAGTGAATCATTTGTAACTTATATCCGTTAAAGCTATACTATCTGCAAATTATAGTAATTTATTTTATAATGAATTAACTTTATTAATTAAATGAAGACTTCTTTACATTGTTTAATTCGAATCAAGATGAAAAACTGCTAATTGATCAATAGATTAAAATAAGGATAATATGAATACAAAAAGATTATTTACTGTCAGTCTCAGTAGTACATTTAACTTTATATATTCTCATTTTCACGAAATTAATCACACATAAATGTTTGATAATGCTCGTAACTATCAACTACAGACAGCCATTTTATTAAAGAAAATCATTCAGTTGATAAGCGAAATCTATTACTAGCGAAGTAAGCAAAGCGCTTAGTAATAACGTTGTTTCAGTCACATTCCCGAGTTTTAGTTTTAGTACTAAATCTCGGGACTATTTAGTAAGGGGCTGTCCATAAATTACGTCCGCATTTTTCTTGAAATTTTTAATCCCCCCATTGTCTCAGTTTATCCAAGTTTCCGCAACCCCTCCCCTCTTTGGACGTCCAACAAAACTCTCAAAATCTTTATCACTTTATGAATAATAAAATGTATAAACTGTAAAATTTAATAAAATAAAACGGACGTCCATTGAAATTGAACTCCTCCCCCATAACAGGAAGTACCATTTCAACTAAAAATTGCTAAGTAATTTACATACAGTTCACCAGAGGGCGATGATAGTTTGAACTGAGAGAGAGTTTTCCATTATTCGTAACAAATAAAATGCAAAAAAAAAAAAACATGTTTTCCAGTGCCTTATAAAGTGTTAACAATTGTTTTAATAGTAAATTATCTATTTAAGAATCATATGTACATTAATATCTCGTAATTTTATTTCATAATTAAGCATAATTAATGAAAATTTATTCGTAATTAATTTTTCCGTCAAAACTTTCGGATAAACAACATCATTAAAACAAATAAACACGAAACATTTTCATTTATTCGTTTTATAATAAATAATTTTAATCAGTTAGATTTTCTTTAACGTTTCAAGATGTAAATTAACCAATTACCACATAAATTAACGAATGAAGTGTAACGATTGTCCTCGTTTCCAAGTGTATTAAATTAATAATACTTTCTAATTTTTATAATTACTTCTTACTTAAAATCTCTTATTAGTCTATGGTTATATTTATTTATTTATTTCGTAATATACGTCTTTCATTGTGCGCTTAAGAAATGCCGTCTAGTGGCAAAATTTCAATTTTCTATTAAAATTATTAAATCCAATTAAATGATTTAAAAATGACCGGGATAATTAAAAAATACCATTGTGATTGCGTCTATGTCGTGGAGCGAAGCAAATGCATCCGGATGGGACGCTTCACCTCAATACTAGATTCGAGTTTTAAAGGTGAAGCGACCCTGGCAACTTGTCGCAGACGACGCACGTTCCGAATGTCCACGGGCGTTTCGCGCACTACGAAAGAGAGCAGTAGCGACCGTCGAGTAGCATCGTGTTAAGGGAGCTCCGGTGATTAACCGTGACTGGTGCATATTAGAAATGGCCACTGCCGTAGACAAAGATGCCTTATACGCTGCCTACGAAGATGTCAGATCAGATTTGACAAAAACTAACTGGTAAGTGGTTTATATTTAATACAAAACGTGTTATCCTCGTTTCTTTATCGTTACCATATTTTTTTAATTCATCGCGATTGTTTCCGAGACACATCATTTATATAACTGTTGTTCTGTCTTTTCCAATTTAATTATTACAGTCGGAGAAGAGACTTATGATGTGATTTAAGATTTATTTTGTGGAACGAATAAAGTGTCGGATAAAAATCAATAAATTCTCTTAACGTCTGGATCGGGCAGACGGCGTTGAACGGAAAATCCATTTGGTTGCATTTAAATCCCATTTTGTAGCATTTTTAGAAAGAATTTAAACATTTCATCCCTCTGTTCTTATCACCTTTTATTAAATAGAGACGAACCGATTATTATTTAACGAGATACGATGTTTAATCTAAGACACACATAATTTCTTGAAGATTATTATTTATAAATGTATTTTTTAAAAAAAAGTCTGAAGTTCAACTAGTTGAACTTTAATACTGGAATAATAACGATTGTTATTCTGTTCTACATAATTTTTTTTTCTTTCACAAAGAAAAATCGTTTAAAAAATTTTCATTCTAACGAAACGAGTTCTGTTTGACATATAAACTCGACTTCTATCAAATGCATCCGCTTTTGAGTCGTTTTCGGAGAATTTTCTTCTTTTTCCTGAATATTTTACACCTCCAACTTCCAGTATTTGTCATATGATTTGTTCTATATCTTTATATTCACTTCCTGATCCGGATTTAAATTTTTTTTAAATCCTAAAATATTACAGAAAAAAAAATAATTGTTTATTATAATGCCTAAAAAGCTGAATAATTATAAAAAAATTAGAGGGGAAAAAAATACAAATTTAGTCATTAATTTGCATGACGTCACAACCCGCGCTAATTCGTTGTAGGTTTTATGGAGCCGGGCACCTTTCACTTAATCAACATTAGAAACAGTTTTATGGTGTTCTAAACGTATCGCTTTAATTAATTTCGATGATAAAATTACAATCGAAAAGACAGAACGAGGCTAATTATTGATCCATTACGCGATAAATGATTATTATGATGCCGATTTAATTCGAAAATAAATTTTTAAGGCTTCGAAATAAAATTCCTGAATAAGATAATTCGATAAAACATTTCATAGGAAATCAATGTAGAGCCATTTGTCATTCTGAGTCGAGCCTTAAATCAATACGTGAAAAAATTATGTAAACTGCAACCTCATTGGTCGATATGAAATTAGTATTGAAAAATTGTCCATTTATTTCCCAAGAGAGATATTTAACGCATCCGGTTTGATGATTTCCCCCCTCCCTTAATAATTGTGTGGCGAATATCTTTACACAAATTTAGTAAACTATATAGCCTATATATATATATATAATTATATAGAGAGATTCTTTATAAAAATATCTATTAATTATAATAATTTTAAAAATATTTTATTGGGATTTCTTTTTAGGGCTATCTTCAAATACGATGGGACCATGATTTCCTACGATTCTTCCGGAGACGATCTATCAGAAATAAACTCCAAATTTTCTGGTAAGGAAAAAAAAATTCTGATTAAACTTCATGAATATTAATGGATTTCAGAATTTCCATATAGAATATGCAAAATAATGCTGTTCTGTTGGAAAGCTTTGATAAACAGTTAAACCTACATAAGCGAGGCTAATATAAATGTCTGCATTAACATATAAAGCAGCATGTTTTTAATACTGATTTTTTTGTAATTAAAAAAAAAGCGTAATAATTATGCTACCGAACATCTTTTATTCCGGGCATTGATTAATGATTATCGGAAGATAACAATAACTGCTTTAAAAAAAATATCTGTCCTCTTTCCTTGAACGTGAGATTAATGTTAGCCTTTATAACGTTAATCTCTATTTTGTAGATCATAATCGCACATAACACGACTTTGAATTTAATGAAAATGTTTAAAGAAACGTTGGATATATGCCAAAGTGAAGTTTGATACCTGTAACAGATAGATACCTCGAGATACCGTTTTGATAAATTTAATTCAGATAACAATAATGGAAAATTTCTCCTAGTAAATTTACAAAGTTTGGGAGAGATTTCAACGTTTTAATTCATTTTATTTATTAAATTTTCGTTTTATAATTTCGAGATTTTATGAAATCATACAGAAAGTTAAATTATAATTTTTAGTTACTATCAAATATTATGAAATTTATATTTAAGTATTTGTTTGTTTTTATTTATATCATTTTCATAATATAACAAAAAAAATTGTTGTGAAAATCATAAAAAAAAAAACATTTACTAAATTAATACATTCTTCAGTTACTAATAATTTAATATTAGTTTTCTGAAAATTATATTTGAGCAAACAGAAATTTATTACTCTAATCATTTTGTCACGGAGTTTATAATAGTTTAAATTCTACATTTTATATAATACATAATAAATTTCAAAAATATATATAATTTTTATATTTTATCCGATTAGATTTTGAAGCAATTGACAACGCATATAAGTCTATCTAGTTGCTTCAAATCAAATAAATAAATATATTTTTTCTAATTCATTCACGTATTATTAAATCTGTTTATATCTATATAGTTTTATAGTTATTAAATAGACCGTGCAAAATAGATTTGTTTTTCGGGTAAAATATTAATGCGGGCAAAATTATTTTACTCATGTAAATTACCTGTTAAAAAAATAATAAATATATCCTTCTGCTCCTTGAATTATTCAGAGTATAAGTTGCTCCTTGAATTATTCACCGAGTTTAAGTTGCTCCTTGAACTATTTATGAAAAAAAAATTCGAAGAAATAGATTTACAATTAATACAATTAAAAATATTATTAAATAATAGCAGATAGAATAATGTTGAACAGTTGTATAATTCTATCAAATGCTGTTCTTATATATTTTTTTATGTATGTATATTATATTTAAATTATTTTGCATTTATTATTTATTCGGAATAAATATAAAATGAAAATGGAGTGGATTTGATGTCCCACATTTTATAATTATAGTTAATATATATATATTTATAAAGCGTGATTAGAAACTAGAATATCCATTTTATGGTTTTATCTGATATTAATGTTTTATTATACTTATTTTTATTTATAAAAAATCGCGTACAGTATTTAGATATATATAGAATAATAAAATTTTCATTTGTGTGTGTGTGTGTGTATGTAAAATTATATATATATATATATATATAATTTATTTATTTAAATTTTCTGATGTTTAATTTAGGTTAAACGCAAAATACTTAGTTGTGTATCTGACATATTAAGCAGTTTTAAAGGAAGTTAAACTTATAAATATATAATTTTTCCGAAGACTAAACGTACAAGATATTTTTTTTATGGCTGTATATAATAATAATTTTGTAAATTTTACATTTTTTACTTAACATATTCCTATAAAAATGCTACTACTAATAAATATTTTTTTTAAAATTCATAATTAAATTTAAAGTATGTAAATATATATTCGTAAAACACGAACTCCCAACGAAAATCTAATGATTGAATATAAATTTAAAAAATATCATCACGAATCGCTTGAAATATCTAAACGTTAAGTAAATTTGCTAATTGATTGTAATCCGAATTGAGTTTATCTTTTTAAATACAGCTTAGTAAATTATCACCAAGTATTAACTAGTCTTGCAAGAAATCAATTTGAGATTTCTGAAACTAAGGTTTTTTTTTTTTTTTGTATAAAACTATTACCACAGTAAACAGTATTAATTCAGTATTAGTCAAGCATTTCTATTAGATTATGATATTATTTTACAATAATTGTCTCCCCGTGATAATGGGGAAAAAAGTATCACTTTTCAGCAAACAAATTTGCTGATTGAATAACTTTAAAAAATTATTTTTTTTTATACTTTTCCCAAGAAAATATCCTCGATTGAAAGATTTAATGTGGACAAAATCAAATTGACAACTAAAAAAATTTTGTGCTGTACATTTTTTTTCGTTTTCTTTTGGAGAAGAATGAATGGTTTGATTAAACTTCTGCATTACATTAATAGCTTATTTTAAATACATAAAAACATTTACACTCTTTTTACTAAAAAGATGAATATTGTACTATCGTACGAAATATTCTCAACTTTTAAATGTAATATAAGGATTTATTTAAACTGCATGTGTCATTTTATTATTCATATTTGATGAGTTGCTGTAATTTGTACTTTCATATTTGTAATCTCTGGACATTCTTATCTGACGTGTCATTTCCCTACATACAATTTACAAATAGTTTACAAATTTTATCTGATTACAATGAGTTTGCCAATTTTTATATTCATTTATAATTCATTCATAAGTTCATTGTAACGTCAGAATTTATAAAGTTATGATTTCTTTACATAGTTTTGTATATTTAATTAACAAATTCACTTCAAATATCTACTAACTCTTGTGAATAAATCTGAGATCGTCAAAAATTATTTCTTTACTATATTTTTTGGTTTGTTTGACGGGGTATGGGAACGAAACACGAGAAATCTGCCAAGGGGAAAAATGCCTCCCGAAACGAATTTTTATGGGAAAATGGCCCTAATTTATGTGTTGGACCTGTGAAGAAAACAGGAAAACTCCTAGCATGTTGGTTGGATACGAACCCCCGACCAACTACCTGTGTTTTAGTGGTTTTATCTTCTTTATTGTCATCGGTGGGCATCAGAAAACAAAATAGTCTGACAGTGAATGATAAAGTAGAAAATCAACTGCTATAGGGAAGAAAGCATAACTAAATAATATTAAAGCCTATTTTATTTATTTACTGTTTAATATTCAGTTGTAATTATATAATATTATGTTATATACATTGTTATAGGAAAAATGATTTACATTGACATTAGTAATAACATGTATGCTTATGATGCTCAATTATGGTGAAGTTACGAAAGAAAAGTTTGTCATAATTTTAATTGGTTAAACGAATACAGTATAAGGCAGGGGTAGAGAACCTTTTTCAGCCCGCGTGCCATATAGTAAGCATACTTAGATTTAAAGATGTTTATGTGCGCCAAAGTTTTAGTTTGAATAACGATATTTAAAGAAATTAAATGAATATGCTTTAATTAGAATAAATGTAAAGAAGCTGATTTAAAAAAAGGATGATCGGATGATAAACCGAAAGGATGATTGAGAAAGACAGATGATAAATCTAAATCGTATGGCATGTTAAGTGCCATAGGTTCGTCACCCCTGGTATAAGTCATATAAATCAAGAACCATTAGCGAAAATGCGAATTTTATAAATAAAAATAGACTGTCACTTTACGAATTATAGAATTAGTTTGTGATATTTTTCGTTTTATATATAAATTTGCAATTTCCACAAAATACAAAACTCAGAATTTTGATTTAACCACAGGTTCCTAATGCAATTTTTAAATAAGTCATGTAATATCTCTGGAATGAGCTCTAATGAAAAGACACAGTCAACTTAAAAGTATCTGAAAATTCTTCGCAGAATTTTATAATGACCAGAATAATTTTTTGTACTTAAAATGTAATTAATAGAAATTATTTTACTCTGAGATTAAGATGTATAATTCAATATTCTTATGTAAATGGTACTAGAAACGATAAAGGTAATTATGAGTGATTTTTAGAAAACGCTTCCCAAATGAGATAGCTCATTAATATTTAAAGCAATATGTAATGTAATTATTACTTTTGTACCACATATCTTCCAAATACATCGTTAAACGACAAAATATTCTTTCATTATTGAAATGTAAGTTGACGATAACGATTTTTAGGAGGTAAAAGAAGTGTATGACGAATCATTGACAATTGTTTTTTTCCCCCTGCCTCTTTTTAGCAAAGTTTTATTTTTAGAAAAATGTTTCGTACGAAAATAATTTCTCAATTTTTGTTTAAAAACTCTGAATCAACATGATTCAAATGCTTTTATTCAGAATGTAATTTTCACATTATCATGCTGCACTAGTATTTAGACGATTCGAAGATGACTATTCCCTTTGTGATTAAGCGTTAAGGCATCCGACACCATGAATTTTAAGACTATTAAGAAAATTAAATGTGATGGAATTAAAAGTTACCATTAACCTGTATATAATCGTAATTCTTTTATCATATTAGATCTGGAAAGGAATTACTCGAAGTATATTTTAGAATTCTATTATTATTATATTTAAACATGCTTTTAAAATACATTAATAGTAATCATTAACGATAACATACGTTTTTTAATAAAGTATTTAAATATATAGATATTATTATTATTATTATTATTAAGACAGTTTATTCTAGTTATTATGTTTGAAAATAGTCACACAATTTCAACTAATATACAGTAAAAAGCATTAAACAATTTTCTTTTCTAAATATAGGTCCTACTTATATTTTATTGAAGAATTTTATTACAGTGTTATTAAATAATAAAAAAATTTGTTCAAAATCGTCAGGTTTGCATATAGTAATGTATTATACTATAAAATTATTGTAAACGAAAATTTATTCTGTGTTAAAATCCAGATTATAATTTTCTCATATTTTT